ACGACGCTTCCCTTGTTAGAAAAAACACACAAAGGGAAGAAGTTCTCACACTACTACAAAGTGCCACAAAGCTTCACCGCACTTCTGCTTCACAGCTTCTTAGTTCCAAATAACACAGCACCATAACATAAGAATAAAAAATCAAAAAGGCAGGCTGGCTTTCTTCTCTGCCCAATCATTTAACTACAAAAAGAAAAAAACTGTCACGCATCAGAAACAGCAGTGGAGGATTGATCTCTTTGGGCCTGAGCCTCAACAAGAGCCTGTGCTTGGCTCTGCTGCTTCAAGAACCGCGACATTCTGTCCAGCAGCTGCATTGCCTTTCTCTTCCCTCTATCAGTTCCACTGGATGCCAATTCCAGCAATGCTCCCATAACACTCCGCTCCTGCGCCTCCGCCAGATGCTGCTGCTGCATTTCCCCCGTGCAGAGATGCAGCAGAACAGCAGCCGCATTCTCCTTGTTCCTCGGCGAACCGCTTCTGATAACCTCTACCAGCACCGGGACCGCTTCCAGTGCCCCGATCGCCGCCTTGCACTCGAAGTGGCTGGACAGTATCGCCAGTATCGCAAGCGCCTCATCCACCATTAATCCAGCAGGCTCGGTCAAAAGCAACATTAGCGTCGGCACTACACCAGCCCTCACCGCCCGGCCCTTATTCCCTTGGAAGATACAAAGGTTAAAGAGAGCGGTGGCCGCATCCTTCTTCCCCCTCTGACTCCCTTCATTCAGCAGCGAAACAAGAGCTGGTATTGCTCCCGATGCACCTATGGTTATCTTGTTCTCATCAACAACCGATAGGCTGAAGAGCGTGGCAGCAGCGTTTTCCCGGGCCTCCATGCTTCCATTCCTCAACACATGCACAATTCCAGGCACCGCGTCGGAGGACATGATGATCCCCTTGTTATCCTCATAGATGGAAAGATTTAGGAGAGCGGTGACGGCGTGCTCCTGGGTGCGCGGGTCGGCGGTGGACAGCAGATTCACGAGGACCGGAATAGCGCCGGCCTCCGCGATACAGATGCGGTTGTCCGCATTGCGTTTGGCGAGCAGACGGATCTCGCCGGCGGCTAATCTTTGATCTTCGATGCTGGGAGAGGATAGCTTGCGGATGAGCGCATCTATGTTCGCGCGCTCTGCGGGGGAGCAGGCTGAGGATGGCTTGCTTGGATTGGAAGGGCGCTGCGGTGGATTGATGCCATTGGCTTCGCACCATTGGGCGATGAGGCTTCGGAGGACGAAGTTGGGCGTTAAGGTTGTGTTGGGGAGTTTCTGTTGTGTTTTTGGGCATGTGTCGTGGCCTGCATCTAACCATTTCTTAATGCAGGCTCTCTCGTAAGTCTGTTAACAACAATGATGGTTGTTAGAATTCATTATAACTGTAAAAATATGTAGGGGAAGAAGAATCTTACCTGCAGTTATAGTGATTAGGGTTGAGATGAACAGGGAGATATGAAGTCCATCCAAGCAAAGTATCAACAATGAAATGAGGGAATCACCAGAGATCCTTAATTGCTTATTTTTTCAGACATATTTATACAGTGCTAATATACTCAATTGCTAGCATGTTTGTTTAAACATGTTGTCTGATGCTTAAAACATTATTGATGTGTTTAGTTCAACTCTGATTTTTTAGCATTCTTAGCTAAAAGTTCTGCAGCAAGAGTATCAAAATATAACCATAGTGCCCTAGATAAAATCAATAGTTTCATGCCCAGAAATAAAACTCCTAAGACAAATAGCCCGTCGCGTTGCTTCCAAACATGATATGAGTTCTTATAAAGTGGAAATCAATATTGTTTTTTGTTGTATTAGAGGCTTTATTTGCATAAGGGGGTAAATTAGTCATTTTCTGCTTTTATTAGTATCATAATCCTCTCTTATATATAGCAGAGAGGGATTATGGCTGATTTTAGTGTGTGGAGTTGTAACTCTATTTCAACCGTATTTTATTTCTCCTCCATTTCCTTTGACTGACCAAGATTTTTCTCTTTTTTGACTTGAATTCATCTCTGTATGTAGTACTGCCAACATATTTTCCTCATCTCAATTCTCTGTATGTATTACTGTCAAGATTACTTGAATCCATCTCCTCAATCTCTGTATGTATTACTGTCATAATCACACCAATTCAAAAAATATGGAACAATAATATCGAGCAGAAACAAGCAACAAAGTAATCCCAAGAAAATATCAAAATTTAACCTGAAAAAAAAAAAAAAAAACCCGAGAATGGGAAAAAATTCACAAAACCACACCACATTGCATCCAAAATTTCACTATGAAATGAGAAATGTGAAGAAATTTTCACCAGTCGGATTTCCACGATGTAATTACGTCACTCCTCTACTCTGAAGCCTTGAAAGAAAAGAAAAGCGGCATTCGTACGCCGCTACTTTGTGTGGTTACGTCGGCCTGGGATCTTTTTGATTGGCATAGGTACGCCGTGCAGAATGTCTGTTGTGCTCTTTTATGCTTTAAATCTCAACAAAACATCCCATCAAGATCGATGTGAGAAGATTTGACGGCAAAGAAAACTTTGATATGTGACAATACGCGATAATGAATGCATTGTGCTCTTTAAATCTAGAGGAAATACATGCATTTATCTAGGATGGAGTCATTGATTCTTTATGCTAATGCAGTGGACAGTCTGATGTAATTTATACAAAATCAGATATTGTAGATGCAGTGGTGTTGTGAGAAGGTTTATGCATGATCTAGGATGGAGTCATTGGCAGACTGATAAAAATAATCTAAAATATATAAATGGTACAATTGATGTCAGCTTGCAATTTGAGATACAATAATTTATTGTTGATTTGTGTAGATTATAGTGATTCATATTCTACATGTTACATGGCAAGTCTACGACTGCTATTCATCCACATCGATAAAAGGTCAAGTCAATTGGAGATCAATTCTTCCATCTACTGTTATTTTGTTACTAAGAATGTTGAGTTTACGACAGTCACGAACGTGTTAAAGTGATGTGGCTGCAGGACCTACTAGATATCTTGGAAGTTAATCAGCAATCTCTGACAATACTTTGCTATAGTCAGAGTGCGATATTATTGGCCAAAAATCTAGTTCATGCCCGTACCAAGCAATTGATGCGAGACACCACTTTGTTCGGGACTTTATGAAATGTTATGCTGAAGAAGACATACAAAAAAAAAAAAAAAATAAAGTGGCATGCTAAATTACTATCAGTGTAAAAATTCACCTATTGTAGAACTTTGGTGTACATCCGAGCTGATGATTGATTGCCCGTTAAGAAAACTATGCGAGTCTTGTCCCTTTGGGAACCATCTTAGTGCAATCTTTTTGGTGTTGAAGCTCATTTGGTCATCAATCACTTATCTGAATGTGAGAGATGAGGTGGAGATTGCTACATTAGAGGCCTTGTTTGAATGGTAAATTTGTGATTTCTTTTATTAGTGTGTCCTAATCCTGTCTTATTTATATGATGGATTAGAATTGATTTTAGCGTGTAGAGTTGTAACCTTATTTCAATTGTCATTTATTTCTCCAAACCTATTAGTAGTGGAATAACCCCTCTCTGTGAATGTAGGCAGATTTGCATCGAACCACATAATCACACCGTATTTGTTTGTTTATTTGTTGTGTGATTTTGTTTTTCACATTGTTTTGCACATCTTTTTTTGCACTTCTATAATAACTAGCTTCTTCTAATAAAAAGACATGTGAATATCAATTCTATGCCGCAAAGTCAGAATCTTAACACCCAATCACTCCAATATGATCAAATTTCATGCAAATAAGTATGTAGCCTTTTGATCCTTAAAGATACCTCGTGATTCTTTTTGTAGTGCTCCAAATTAAGATTACCGTGATATCTACCCAACATCCCTACTATATATGGAATGTTAAATTTCATATAAATAAGTATGTAGTCTTTTGTTCCTTATACAGGCTTGCACATAGATTAAGCTTCAAATTGATAAAGCCTAAAGAATGTTTTTCATTTGTTCCTTTTTCAAATCATCTCTCGAGCACTGTTTAGACTGATTTTATTACCTTTTACAATACATTCTTTATGCTTCGCCAATTTGCTATGCTTCATCAATTCTTTGGCACTGAGAAAAAGAATTCTTTATGCTTCATCAATTAGTGAAACCATATTTCTTACATAATTTTGATACTAATGGAGAAAACCCGATCAATAGAAGCCAGAAAATATCATCCACGTATAAAACTAAGAAAATTATTTTACTCCCACCATTCTCTATAAAATCAAGTGAAGATATAACATAATGAAAATTGAAAAAACACGGCGAGAGCCGTGTTTTAAGCTATATATAGATTTGTTAAGTTTGCAAACAAGCAGCTCATTTTCATTTGAGAAAAAAACCCTTCTAGTTGCTTCAAATAAACTACTTCATCTAAAGCTCTATTAAAGGAGACAATTTTTACATCAATTTTATGTAACTTGATATCAAATTCATCTAGTAATGCTATGTTTATCCAAAAAGAATCCATCAAATCTAAAGAGAATATTTCAATATAATAAATTTCTATTTGATTCTAACTAAAAGACTTGTTTTATATCTTCTAATATTGCCCTTTTTTTTTTTTAGTTTTGAAGCCCCATTTATTACCAATGGCTCGAAAATCTAAATCCCCAAAGGTTTAAATTGTGCAGCAACATCCCTTGATTCCATCGAGTTTGTGTGCAGCTATAGTGCCAGTAAGATTCTTGAAAAAAAAAATTTATCATCAAAGTGCTTACAAAAGTCTCATTTGATATCTCAAATTCTTGCTCCATAGATTTGAAATAATCTTTTATTATAGCACATCCAGACATTGACCCACAAATACACTTCCCAAATTAAGACTTCATAAGCATGTTTAAGCAATTTGCAGCTCCCAATATCAATATGATGCGATCTCAGATTAAGTAATTGATTTTGTAAGCTATAGAGTGCTAAATAAATATCCATGGAACCTAAGGCAACGAAAATTTTCTCCTTCAGATTCTTATATTTAACACAACAAAATATAGAAACATGAAATGCATCATAATTTAGAATAGAAGTAAATTGAACTATAAATAAATTTTTACATGTTTAATTAATTTTATTTGAAATAAAAATGAAATGAAAAATCTATACATTTAAATTATTCCAAAAATAAATATATGGGTATCCGTAAAATCAACTTGTGAGAAATTATAATATGCAAATGCAATTGATTTTATAAGTGCTTTGTAATAAGATTAGTAATTCTTTTAAATAAAGCATTAGGCTTGTGAGCAAACACCTTTTTATTTTATTTTAAATAATTACCTCATTATAATTAGGCTAAAACATAAAAAATCTCCTTATAGGATTAAAACATTTAATTTTATGTCTGATTATGCATATTGATGTCATTAATAAATATTTTAAGTGACTAATTTTAAATCTTTTAAATATGACATCAAAATCATATTTTGACTGAACTTTAGGTTAAATTAAAATTATAGTGGCAAGTACTTAGCATAAGAAAATATTCTGAAATCTAAAATCAAAAAAAAAAAAAAATATATATATATTTTTTTATGGCAGATTCACATGAATATGAGAGAAAAAGCCATCTCTTAACACGATGAATCAAAAGAATTATAAATCAAAATTCAATTAAAATTCATCGTAGGAAGATGAATTTTATAACCTTAGGTAGTGTGATACCAATTGTTTGCTCAAACTATAGTCATAAAGTCACAAAGGGAAGCAAGAACCTTACGTTCACCAATAATAATTTGACTGGAGATGAACACCAAGATATTTGCTAGTCTAGCCTAGGCATTTATATCCCATAAAATGATGGAATCACATAGGTTTATCTTATTGGACCAAACAACCTTTGGATGGATGATCGCACCCTTTTCACAAAGGAGAGAGTAATTAACCAAAATAATATAATAATTATCTTAATTTAATAGGTCACTTTATTATAAAATTTAATTTATTAAATGGCATTAATTGTTTCATTTATCGTTTTTATTAATAGTTTCAGCAACTTAGTTAAGTTAGATAATGCTTATGAACCATAAATGTTCCATAAATCTTAAGAAGTACCTGTCCAGTAGCCACTATGACAGGATCTCTCATCAGCTCTAGGGAAATAGGACAGCGGAAGTCATTAGGAATAAGAGGAGCTTGGTGATTTCCATCAGTAAACAGAATCCTTGGATTTGATGGAGTGCCCATCTCAGGATTCTGAGTTTGCACGTAATCCTTGATTTTCTTTAGGAGCATTGACATTTTCTCAATACTCTGCTCCGGATCTCCGCTGGCAGCTACCATCTCAAGCAAAGCTAGTGATTCCTGTGTGAGATCAGAAATTGTGCTTAACTGCAACTTTACTGCTAATCTGCCAAGAATTTCAGGATCTACATAAGCGTCGCTGGCCTTATCATATAGAAAAGCAATGTCACCATATAACTCAGAATCAGGCATGTCAACTCTCTCTTTAGCCCTTTTGAATTGAGTGTGAACAAGCTCAACCTGCGAGAAAAATATTTGAATTATAAACACAGATACTGTTCAATAGTTAGTATTGCAAGCTACTTTCCAAATAGTAAATCTATTAGGATAACCCGAAATCCTACTGGAAAAAGTTTACATATATAAAAAAAATATGATGTAAATGGCCACAATCTATGCTTTGCATATTAAAACACAAATACTTATAAAAGGTGTCACATACCTGTTCTCGAACTTCATCAGATATGTCAAGTTTATCAAAAGAAATTGCATCCAGTGCTTTTTCTAATTGAGCAGTCACATCTTGGAACCATTTTGTGATTTTATCCCTCTCCAGTACCTGCAATGTATAGCAAGTTACAGCTTCAGAGGGATTGCAGAAAAAGCAATATAGATACAAAAGGTACCAAAGGTGTATCAAAGCTTAATCTTTTCCACATCAATAAAGACACAGTGATACTAACCAAACACAAATAATAGATTGTTTTATATATCCCACTGGCTGAGGAATCCAATACATAGCACACAATTCTTATGTATTTACATATCTCACACCTAAACTTTCATATTTACACACTTAGCATTCAAATGTTTAATATCTCATCAAATATAGCACTACCATCACTTTTTAAGAGTGAAATACATCTTTTCATGTATAGGTTTAAAAGACCAAAGTGACATATAAGTAAATATGAAATTTTAGGTGTGAGATAAGTAAATACATAAGAATGGTGTGCTGCGTACATAAACTCCCAATAAATAAATAATGCACTTGTGCTAGCACTATTGATTGTATGTAGAACAGTAGTAAGCATCTTAGTCTCATTAGCAACTTCAGCGAAAGTACTCATTACCAAATTCAACATATAATGGTGATGCAATGCAAAAACAAAGAATAGCACACAGCTAAAAATGGACCTAGAAGAATAAATCTGACGCAAAAACTATCTTTACAATTAGAAAAAGCAAATATAACACTGACCATCTGAATGATGAACAGACAAGCAACCTGAAGAAGAAGCACTGCAGTCTAGACCTAAGAAATTTTATTTTGAGTCCTGACTGATATAGATCTTTCAAGCTTTAAATCTTCAGAGAAGACAGAGAGAGAGAGGTGTAGCAAATAATTTTTTTTCCATTTTTTTACTATTTGCTGCAAGAGCCATTCAGTGCATATAACCCACAGCGGATAAATTAAAATTTACAAAAAAACGCATACTGACAAGCAGAAGGTTATTGATTTCGCAATAATTCATAGATGTCAGAACTTTATTTTATCTGACTTGCTTCAGCATGCATGATAAAAGCATCCTATGATATGTCCCCCTAAAGGGGTTTCAATCACCTGAGAATATAACAAGGCGAACTTGCAATGTAAACTGTAAAATCAAAATTCAGTCTAACGAAGTAAAAGTAGCTTTTTTCCCATGGCAATCAACAAGATTTGCTATTACAACAGTCAGCTACATTAGTTTCCAGGGGGAAAAAAATGCAATTACTACATAAGGGAAGTAAAAGCCAAATGCAGGAATAAAAATCAATTCAAATGTATTGCAGGACCAGAATTGCAAGTTTCTATTTTATATGCTAACAAAAAAGAATAGGAAGCTTTACAAGCATACCACTCAATTCAGGTGCATTTACATATCTAACCCCTAATTGTCATTTTTTACATACATACCACATACCTACGCATTAAAAGGTGTATTTGGCTTTTTAAAAGTTAAAATAGTTGTATTTTTTATGTGATGTGAAAGATATGGGTGGTATCAATGTAAAAAAGTAAAATTTAAGAGTTGATGTGTGGATACTTAAGAATTGGGAGGTATGTATCTAAATGCCCCGTTGGAATAAAACAATTGGGAGGTATATCAGTAAATTATGTTTAAGAATTGGTAAGAATGACCAGCGCAACAACCCAAAGAAACATAACATCAGGCTAAAAAACTGAGTAGGTGCAAAAAATAGAAAACAGACAAGACTAAAGCTCAATCCAATAAAACTAACTTCTAGAATAACTCTAAAGAACTGCAAGTACTTGCATTGAAATAAACTGATTCCAAAATACCTCAATAGACACAAATCCAAACTCCATATACGTGAGTCAATCATCAACCATTTCACCATTTCACAGCAAAAATTCCATGTTCCAAAGTCAAATGATTTTTAAATTTACATGACACAATTATTTTTAAATTTACATGTTCCAAAGTCAAAAATTCCATGACACAATTATTTTTCTTGAAAATCAAATGTCATGCCTAAATTTACTTTAATATGTAAAACTTCATTTGATTTTTAAGTAACAAGAGAAAAAATGCCATGTTCCAAAGTCGCTCCTTTCATTAAGAAGGAATAGTGTGATCACCTTTTTTTTTATTCTCGTATAATTCAAACGGTTAGATGGGATATGTAGTCTTTATTTACATTTTGATTGATCAAACATCCACATATATTGAAAAATAATAGATAGAAAAGGTGGAGTTTTCCTGTCAAATAAATGAGATCTTAATCTGCCATCGGCCATAAATATCTGCAGAGCAAATCCAAAATCCACCCTTGTTTTTAAGCAAGTCCATCTTAAATTATTCAACAATGAGAAAATATTCACAGTATTACCATGGAAAACAATATGTATATCCCTAAACTGAAAAAAAGGCAATAACAAGATAGTATGCTCGTGAATACTTTTTCATTGGGTAAAGGAACTATTCCAATATAGTAATCACAAAAAGAGTAATAGAAAGGTGTATTTTATTGAAACAAGTTTAGAATTAATGGCTGAAAACTAAAATCTAAAATCAGATCGTTGCAAACGCACAAGAAATCGGTAAAGCATTCTTCGTATCAAGGAATTTAAAAAAAAAAATCATGCATATTATGCTAGAAACATCTCCTACGCATTCTTTGTAAAACAAAATCGAAAATCTACAATCACAAATCCATCAGGCTACTCAAATAAACGCAGTCAAACTGTCTCTATTCAGGAATCAGAATCATATATCTACAAATTTAAAGAAAATCTTAGTCAACGATTACAGAGTTAAAAATAGAAAAGCACTAAAACAGCACGACAGATTTGACAAAAGTCAATAAAATTGAAGTCAAACGTATACCCAAAGCATCATATGCAGCAAAATAAAGTAATAATCACCATAAATTTCAAACCCAATACCACCAAAACGAAATAACCACATCCATATGCAAACCAAACAGAATTCAAGCAAGCCCTAACAATTCATTCACTAAAAGATCATCCATTCAAAGAGCAAAAATCGCCACGAGCTCATCATAGTGAGAGGGCCGTCTATAAAGCTCACAGAGAAGCCATCACCCTACTTCCAAAGCTTAACTTACCAGGAAGATCTTGCTACCATCACTCCCAAACCGGAGAAGTATCCTCGCCGCATCAAGAGCATCCCGGAGCTGCACGAGGCCCCGCACCGCCTCGTTCGGAATCGGCTCACTGCTTTCCTTCAGCTCCTCGAACATCGGCGCCAGGAGCTTGACCCGCCTCGAGAGATTGCCGAACTGCTTCTTGTATGCGTTCCGGTATTCCGATATCGCAGCGATCTCCTCCACCGCCTCCATCAGTCTCTCCACCGCCGCCTCCCCGTTACCCGACGCCTTAGGCGTCGTTGGTTTCACCTCCTCCTCCTCCATTTCCACCACTGGACCTCCAAAGCTTGCGGTCGATGGTCTCCTCCCTCCTCTCTCCTCCTCCTCGGGATATTTTTTATAGTGTGGTCCGAATGCTGGCTCAGGAGTGGGTGGATCACCGGGACACGCATCTTAAAGCTTGATGAACGAGAGGAGAAGCACGCTGGCAAATGGTGGGCAAAAAGGATAAGAAGGCATGAATTACATAAATGAATCAGTTCAGCTGGAAAGCTCAATGATTAGTCAACCTAGTAATTTCTTATTATTATTGTTTGAGATATTTGACTGAAGGGCATGAATTACATATATCAATTCTTTTTTTTCATTTTACGGCTGTGATGATAATTTTTTATTTTTTTTTATTGATTAAAAAAAGCAACACATCAAAAAAAATACCATGATATATTATAGGGCTGTCAAAACAGCTCGTTGTTCGCAAACAACTTATGTTCGACTTGTTCTCTAAGTTAACAAGCCGAATACGAATAATACTAAGAAAGATTTATTCGTTCGTGTTCGGCTCATTTTGATTTGAAATACTACTAATTAGATTCAAATGATGTTTTAATATAAACAATAATTTTTAAATCTTGCCCCAATCCTTAACATCTTATGGCTACTCAATAAAGGTTGTCAAAACGACTCTTTGTTCGTGAACGGCTAGTGTTCGGCTCGTTTGCGATCCGAACACGAACACACTTTTCGAGCTCGAAATATAAACGAGCCGAACACGAGTCGGCTCGTTTACACCCCTAGTTGCGTATAAGAAAATTTGCAATTTTAAGGTTAAGGGTTTGTAAGGGCATTTGCGTAGATATCACGTCCCAATTCTTTATGTATTTCCATATCTAACCCCAAAATCCTGCATTTATATTTATACTGCTTAAATCTTTCATACCACATTAAAAATACCTCTTTTTTTAACTTTTAAAATTGGAATATACATTTTCATGCATAAATTGCCAAATATGTAAAAATTCATGTTTGCGTGGTAGATGTGTAAATACATAAGAATTGAGAGGTGTGCATGCAAATGTATCAATTTTCTATAACATTATTCAAAAATGAAACATTTACATGCATAGAGCTCTAACCTTTTGAAAGCATGCACATAAAACTCAGATAATTTAGCCCTATAAATTAACTTGTAGAAATCAGCTATGCATTAGCATGCAGATGATTAACGAGAGGCTTTTTTGATCTATTATTTATACAATTTAAATTAAGGGAATGAAATGTTTAAATGTTGATGATTTCCATCTAGCTTTATATTTCTAACTAATATTTTTAATTTCTATAATGAATGAAATGTTTATTGTGTTATTTCTAAGAGTTAATAGTGAGCAATTTGTATTCTCTTCCTTGAAATGGTGAAGTAGGAGTTCTAAGTTTAACCTTTTTGATGTAATTAAACATTAGTTTTGAAGTGGTGATGATTTTCAATCTAGAAAATTATTTTGTTCGAATTTGTGTGATCTAGTTGTGCGAATGCAGGCCAGTGGAACAAGCAAGTTAAGTTGCGCTGAATTGGGAGAATAGGGATATTAACTTTAGGTGAATGCAATCTTGAAGTGAATTACAAGATCCTGGAATAATTGATTGATTTAGGGAACTAAACCTATTTGATTACCAAACCTTCTTAGGAGCTCGGGAAGGGAAGGATGTTTTTTAGGATAGAGAACCTCACAAAACTTTCACTTAGTTAACGTATACTAGGGTTTTTTTTATAAAATTAGGTATATAAACTTTAAAATCAACTGATTTTAAATCTTTGGGCTAGATTCAAAAGCAATACACTAGAACTTTTTCTAGATTTTGAGACTTCACTTGTTTCTTATGAGATTGATACATAAACTTAATTTTGAATGTTATTTGGATGACAAATATACTTATGTGTATCACTGTGCTTCGCCACACTTGTCTGTATTAGTTATCATCAATAGTGAAAATGATGACAATCAAAAAACACCATGAAGCACTTATGGCAACTCAAATATTGTCAAAATATTAATTTTTGAAACTTATAAAATTATGTTTTTCAAAGTTACCTGCTTCAACATCACCCAAAAATTAGAAGGCAATTGATGTGTCATTAATAAATTTTTACCAAACATGATTCTCAATGCATTTTTTTATAAGAAATCTTTCAAATTCAAATTCGAGATCTTACGGGATTCTATTTCATAAAATTTATAGTTTTACCTACTGTCTCAATAAGACAAACCTAATAATACTAAAATTGGTTCAATTTGAGTTCAATCAAGCCCATATTAAGCAATTAAAACACATTTGGAGGCTTTGGATTGTCAATCAAATGATCAAATAAACTTGAAATTTAACATATTTATAATCAAATCGAGCATCTTGATGAGAAAAATCCAACGATCCTATGATTACTAAATTCTTAGATCATTAAGGCACTCAAATCATTAAGAAAAACCTATTTATTATTGAGGGGTATCAATGTGGATTGTTCAATTGAGTAGTTAAAGAAGTTATGTACCAAAGGATTGAAATGCCCTCCCCAAAAACTTATAAATAAACAGTCTCTCTTCACTTAAGGGTCTCTCTTCACTTAAGGAGGGTAGGAGGGGATAAAAAGAGGAGAAAGAGATGGAAAATTGTATATCTTATTATAGAGAGAAGACCTGATGATAACCATCGGTCTTCGTAGTGACAAACTACTGCCAACCAATATCAGTTATTACTATTGATCATCACTGGCTATCATCGTCTACCACCGCGAACCAGCAACCTCTAGTGACTTATGTCTGCAACAGTTGAAGCCAAAGTATGGCTTTTATGGTTAATTGTTGATATTGTAACCACCAACTAAAACTTTTATGACCAACTATTGTTGTTTTTGCAGTAACCAACTACGTTTTTTTGTGATTAACTACTAGTGTTACAGCTTCCGACTATAGCATCTGTGGCCAACTATCACTATCACAACCAACTACAATATTTATTACCAAATATTGTCTTGTATCAACTAACTACAATATTTATAGCCACTACTATTTTTACAGCTTCCAGTAATGATCTTTGTGGCCAAGTAATTCGGCTATTGCAGCAATCAATTGTAGCTTTTATGACTAATTACCCCCTTCATAGCAATCAACTATGGCTTTTGTAATCAACTACTTCGGTTACATGTTCTAACTACGACCTTTGTGGCCAACAACCGCTATTGCAACTAACGGTTATAGCCAAATACAACAATAAACTAAGATTGTTGTGGCTATCTAACATCATTACAAGTTCCATTGAAGACCTCTATGGCCAAAGATTACTATTGGAACGATCGACTGCAACATTTATGACCGACTATGGCTTTATAGCTATCAATTTTGACATTTCTGGATAACTTTTACTATTATAGCCAATAACAATATTTTTAATCGTCTAATTATGACTATTATAACTAAACTACTATTATACATTTATGATTATTAGCTTTATAACTTCATCTTCTCTAATATATGAGAAGAATGAACATGTGTACTTATAATTATAAAATAGATTGTTTTAACTAGGTTAGACCCCATGATTTTTTTTTCTTACAGGATTTTTTTGCATAAAAATTATGATGTCTTTTCCTACAACTTTTTTTTTTTGTGTGTGCAAGATCTTCATATAATACTAAGACGTTAAATCATCACTCTACTTCTGCAATTTTTTTTGGCACACAATAATTAGCATTCTAAAAATAAGTTATAATCATAAAACAAATCATATTTTCTTTTAATTCAATTATATGAAAACATAAATGTTTAAGCTTTAACTAAAATTAAACTAAATAATAAACAATGATAAGGATTAATCCACTACAAAATTAGCTAATTCTTTGTCAACCACTTAAGTAGAGAAGATGGAATGAGTTTGCTATAATAATAATGAAAATGAAGGGGAGGAAGTCAATAGCGAAGAAAAATAAGAAAAAAAAAAAGAAGAGAAGGAAGCGATTGAAAAAAAGCTAACTATTGAAGGAGAAAGACAAGAATGAAGGGCTTATCAATGATGGCTTTTGATTAGGAGAAAGATCTAGCCTTCACTCTCCTTAAATCAAGACCCCATGATGCTTCGAAATTTGAAGTCTTACACATAAAAGTTTAAATTTAAATAAAAATCTTCCTCAAAACTCTCATTCAACAAAGTTTGAACTATTTAGAGATCCTTGCCATTGTCATTTGATTGCCTTCTAATGTTCAAAATATTTGTCAGAATAAAATCATGCAATTTGAACATCATGCTTTTAGTAGCTCTCTTACTAGCCATGATTAGAGTTTGTTAAAAATGAAAAATATGGATTGATGTTTTGCCATAAATTTTGATATTTGATTGAGAATTAAAAAAAAATAATAATAATAATACAATGAAAACCGAATTGGTCAATATAATATCTCAACGGCTAACTTGTCCTCCAATGCATTCAAATATGAGTGGCAGCACATGACCGTTAGCATGGCAAAGACCAGACTGAATTCTCTGCAATCCATGAAAATCGCAAGCTTTCCTTTCAATCTCAAGAAACTGGCCAAGAGAAGCAGAACCATCTCCTTTCTCGGACTCTATCTTCGGCTTACCACAGAGCGAAAACCAAGCCCTGCTCTTCCCTTTCCTCTCTGTCAGACTTACATGTCTTCTGCCCCTCCTTCCCGATCTTCTCATCGCTTCCAATGAGCTTCCTCCGAGTCCCATCAAGCTTCCAAGCGCAACGTTTCTCTCCTGGGATAGAGATCCAAATGACTGCAAAGTATAAAAATGACATGAAATTTATGTGATTTTTTTCTAATGGCTCGTTTAGTTTCTCTGACCTCTGAGGCAGAATCTGATGAAGTGAGTGAAGTTGATGTTGGGGAGCCAGTGCTTGCGGAGCTGAAGGACACGGAGTCAAGAAAATCAAAGTTTCTTATCAGGCCAAGCCTCAAACTCAGAGGCTGAAGACCAAGAGGCCACCCCTCCTGCAATATTGCAATATTTATCACCAAATCACACAAATTGATGAAATTTTCTTACAAACTACTAAGAGATTTTTTAAAGTATTCATCACCTGTTGATCCATTTGACTGAGCTTTACTGGTCATGAATCGAATTCAGCAATATTTAAGCATTCCACATTTCCTCTTAATCATCAGCAAAAGAGGAGGAAGGAAAAGAAATCATTAGACAGGGGAGAGGAAACCAGTCATCTTAAAGAGAAAAAGGGGAAAGGAAAAGGAAGAAGACGAGAGAGAAAGTGAGTACATTAAATGTTGTGCAAGTCCTTGTGACTCTCCTTCCTTATTTCAATGTCCTGTCTGAATTTTCATGATGATAAGCAGGCTGCAACAGTGAGCATCCGATACTGACATATGGGTGCTGATATAAGTGATTATAGCGGTCAATGTTTAGAATTTGGACCAGAAAACAATATGCTACCCGCCTAAATGATATTTTAGCATTAATATCAATTTTGCTCAAGAGGTTACAGGGGAATGTCTTCCAGAAAAAAAAATTACAACTATGGCACAAACTATTTAGAATGCTCTGAGAGGGATAAGGATAGGACAGGAGCAACGAAGGCATGAGCCTGTTTATATGGTGAAAAGATGAAAAGAGTGATAGCTGGCTATTGGTACTGCGGTCCCTTGCTTGTCTAATGATGGCGAAGAATGGAAGGGTCCGATAAAGGATAGCACTAGCAGTAGCATTGGCTTTTCTTTTTCTTTCCTTCTGAGTAAAAGCAAGCGCCTGCTGGGTTGTTTTTATGATTTTGAACAGCATTTGGGTGGTCCAATTCTATGCTTATATAAATAGCAAAATATACGGGTTTATTTGAGAGAAATATTTTTGTATTGGTTGCAATTTGGCCCTACATCTTTTAAAAATATTACAGTGAGGCCCACTAACCATTATTTGTTGGACTCCGGACGTAATACTTGGCAATCATTCTCAATTTATGTAAGCCAAAAAGAAGATTCTCAACTCCACAAGTTTTAACAAATTAGGTAGGAAAAGCACCATGTCCTTATGGCTCAAGTTTAGGACTCACACTCGGTCGGTGTTGCGACCGTCTCAAGTGTTTGGAATTATCAATGGGAAACCGATGGTATGATGACACAGACATTACTTTAAAAATTTAAAATAGTCCAAAAACATTACTTAGAAAGGTAAGAGCCACTAAGCATCAATATTTCTAATCCATATCCATCTCACTTATATAAATAATTTTTGTAAAGAAACCTAAAATAAGATATGATATATTTTCTTGGTACCGATTTTGAGTAAGACATATTCTTTTCTATGGAAATTATCTTATGTCGACTGGCCTGCTTTAAATATTGTATATTCATCTTCTAAGTTTAACAATTAATGATCTTAAAATAATTGAAAGAGTCACTACAAAAAAGAAATTAAACAATTACATTTATGAATTTATTTTTTTTCCTTTTTGTCTTGTCATTTATACATATTTTCTTTTCTTTGAATCATCTTTTAATCAAAAATTTAAACTTGAAAAGTTAATTAAAAATAAATGAACTTTATCAATAATCAATGAATACTCATATTTTTAAACTATAATAAAATAACGAAAGAAAAATAAATGCATGTTAGTTAAATATGTTTAGTCAATATAAAAGACATTTTAATATTCAATTATGATCATTTGATAATATTAGAACATTAAGCTACCCGACAAATCAGATCAAATGATAATGTTTGGTCGGGAAACTCAAGGCCAGGTGGACAGCCTGAGGTTGACCGACCAAAAAAACACATGACCGACTCAAAACAGACAATCATGTATGACAAAAAATGTGAAGACCTGTAAAGTTTCAACCAACTAACCAGAGCTTAATTTTCCAGTCGATCAGTCATCTTAATCAGTCGTCGACAAAGGGCCAGCTGGCCATCTATGGCAATCAGTCGGCCAACCTAGGACTAAGACTAACTGACAAGCCATCTATGGTTAGTTGTCGTGTCTCAGGTAACCGCCCGACCACCTAGGACCACCTAACCGACCAGTCTTGGCCAACCACCTAACCGACCAGTCTTGGCCAACCACCCAAATCCAATCGACTATGGTGTTTATGCTCCAACATCTTCCAACTACAATAGTCGTCCAACATCTAAGTGAAGTGGCTAATCGACGCCATCTTAACTGATTGAAAGAGGAATCTGTCAGGTGAAGAATCCTCAGATATCAAAATATGCCAAAAGCTGTTGCAAATATTAAAATACCATAATATCTTGTAACACTCTCATTAAAATAGGGGTAGAGATGTTTGTATCTTAGTATTTATCTATCTTCTATAAATAAGGGATTCAATACTTGTAAGGGGGACTTTTTGGCTCTTCATTCTCGACCCATACTTTAGATGGAGTCCACCCTCTTTCTCATCTCTCTAAATGACTTTGATTGTTGATGCTTAATGTTCAAAATACAAAAGGTACTTTAGAATATAATGTAATGTAATAGTAAATTTTAAAATTTATATACTTTATTTGGGTAGTCATCAACAAATATTATGCAAGCTGTCTCCCTCTTAATAGGAACCTTGTTCGCCTCCTTGAGTCCAAAAAATTCAGCTCCATTTGGTTCCTCTTTCTTCTCTTCCTCAATCGAAGTATATTTAGGTGTCTTTGATGCCTCCCTAGTATCATCTTCAACTTTAATATATTCTAGATTGGCTATGGTGACCTTAGTTTTGCTATCCTCAATTGGAAATTTTGTGTAAGAGATTTCCAATTTCCTCTTCTTTTGGTTTTGTCTTGATTTTACTCACCAGACCATACTGCTCAACTAAGATTTGTATAATGGTTTTCTTTTATGCTTTCTCTCTATATTTGACAATATTTTTTTCTAGTTGGTTAATTTTATTTTGCGACTCATTTATTCAGTTATTATGGCCTATAAGTAATCGAAGAAGTTCATCAATTTCTATTCCTGATTAATGTTTAACTGGATTTGGAGTTGGGATGGGGGCTGAAATGGAGTGTGAGGAGTATATGGTGCAGTATTCTCTGCAGCTGACAGTGCAAGGGATGTGTATCCACTAGAGATGTTAAACTCATCTGTCAAAGGGCTAGATGTTGGGCTCCCTAACTTGTGGGTTATTAGAGAAAAAGTAATTGACCTTCACTAGTTAGATCAATAAAGAATCAAAGAGACACAACAAACAAAACAATAAATTATCCGGTGATGTAGGCAAATATAATATCACCCAAATGTTTTTTTTTTTTAGAAATGGTCCAAATTTCTGTTGCTTGTCTGATGCTAGTCCTGAGAAAATAATATCCACCATCTTCGTACTATGTGACCTCATTTTAGACCACCTAAGCATTTGAGGTCTTGCTTCAGGTGACGCTGGAGTAAGAATGGATTTGTGCTCATAAAATCAAAATTGTCAAAAAGTAAAATTCATTAGGTCACTTGCCTGAAAAAAGTGAAAAGATTGTTGTTATTGTCAGTCAAATTAACCACTGACAAGAAAACAAAGCCATTCTTGTATCCAAGGGTCTGAAAGGGTCTGATTCTGCCTTATTTTTCAAACAATGACATCAATTTGCTCAGCCATAAAACTACAAATAATTGTTGGCCAGTTGAAGGAAGATAAATTATCTGCATTATCCTCAAAACTATGCAAGCCACTCAGGACATTGTACTTGCTCTAGGGAATAAATAATTTTGCCAACAAAAACTTTATATACAACTCTACAAATGGTACTGAACATTGTTCTGAAACAACTATCAGCAAGTCATTCTTAATTTTAGTGAAATTTATAGTTGCTATGGAAAATTTATCCCAGTGAACTGTTTCAACACGATTAGGCATGCCAATTAGCAGTGTCACATTGTTTGAATTGAAGCTTAAGGTCTTGCCACCTAATCTAAAAACCTTCTAGTCAGTGTCCCAAATTTTCAAAATTTAAAGAGATGATGAATTTTCTTGTTGGTAAGATGGCATGTGCAAGAATTGAATAAAATGAATATCTTTCAGAATAGTTTTAGTTTCCTCATTAAGTTGACCAAATACTGCATCACGAACAGATCTAACAACCGAGGGTCTGCATATGCATGTCAATACTCTTATGTTCATGATACTTCAAGATTATTACATAGTAGACATTAGTGGCGAAAATCTAGCATAACAAAGTTTTTTTTTCAGTCAAATAAATTGAAAAATATCATTATAATATCAGCAAAAAAACAACAATCATGAAAATAGAATACCACCAGAATTAACACCAAGATACCACCAGAATGCCACTAAAATATCACAATAATATCACTAATATCACCATAATACCACCAACAAATCATCAGCATACCACCATAATAATACTACCAACAAATTATTTTTTTTTTCGGAGGTATGTTGTCAGTCTTGGGAGGGGAAAAAATTTGCGTGCATAAGATGTACGCAGTGCTGCATACATAATGAAGGTTATTTTCGAGTTATATCAGCATCATATTCGCGTTATATCCCCTGTAACCTCTATGTAACTTCCATGTAACCTACATGCAATCTACAGGTATGTGAAAACAGAAGCGCAGAACTTATTTGTAAGGTAGGTTACAGGTAGGTTATATGGAGGTTACAGATGATATAATGCAGATATAATGAATATAACCTCTAATTATATACGTAGAGCTGTCATAATCTCTTTTATTGATTCCATTTATTTTTAAACTTCAGTCTGTCATAATATCTTCCAGTCAGTTCTTTAAACATTTTAGCTATATTCTGTTGAAATAGGTGGTTGGTGGCCTATTCCTGATCTCAATCTCAGTGATGCAGATGTTGCAGAAAATATTTGTAACTTTCTTATCTCACATTGCTGAGGGACCACTTTCATTTGTCTTAGTCATTGTGGAACTATATGAAGAATTTCATATTGTATAAAAAAATTCATTTTGTAACTCAACATGCATAAGAAAATTATCCAAATGCACCAAAAAGAGATGAAAGACAGAGATCTTAAAAAAGAAAAAACCTACATCCCCAAAATGAACATACATCCACAACAGATTCAACTGAAGTTACATAAAATTCTCCAAATGAACCAACAATAGTGTCGAAATTTGCTCATAAAAGAAAAAAAATAACACAAAGGAATTATGTGGTTCGGTCAAAGACTTACATCCACAGTAAGACATCAAATATGTTTTATTATGCAATTGTGTAAGGTTACATAGCTATGATTTTCAATAGAGAGCACTGCAACTAAAGTACATGTGTAACAATAACGCAATAGACGTCTTTCATATACACAGCTATAATTCTCAATACACATCTTATATTTGATACAAATGGTGTGACAATAAAGCAATACACATCATATTTGATATAAACCTTCTCATAATTGTCGAATTAATATGTATTTCCATTATCTGAGATGCTCATATCTACGGTCATCATAATCTCCATAATAAGTGTTTACATAAAAGACCAAAGCAAACCGAAGCTCTAAAGACCAATATAACTCATAGTTCTAAAATATAAGCATTTTATCTCACCTCTACCCTCAGCATCAAAGGAAGCCCCTAAACCCCATCAACACAGAAATGAAAACAATGAAAACGAGAGAATTCATTGCTAACTAAAGAGTGGAATGTATGTAAATGCATTGCATATAAATTTCTCATTATACAACTTAGCAACATTCAAACAAATGCCCCATGATATATCCTCCAACTAAAAAGTGGAATGTATGTAAATGCGTTGCAAATAAATCCCCCAATAAATTCATCATTATATGCTAACAGTCATTAGTATTTGCATTGCAAATTGAAGTTGCAAGTATTGTTTCTTCTTCGCAGATAACGAGAATTCAAAATATTTCCATCTGTTGCAATCAAAAATAGACCCTATGCATTCCAAAACTCCTCGCTACTAACAACAACACAACAACACAACAACAGGAAGAAACTTTCCAAATGACCCCATAACGCATTGAAGCCCATTCCAACATTTCGAACCAAAGTTTTAACATAGGAACATGAAGAACAATATAACAGGTGCAGTGGAACACATATCTAATGCATTCAAGGGATTTGCTTATCTGTCATTCTTAAGATATTACTAGAAAAAAAAAATCGCAAGTGCACTGGAACATAGATCCAATGCATTCCCAAATAATCAAGCAAAGACATCCTCAAGAAAACCGAATCTTGCAAAAAAATTTAAGACAATCGAATTGAGCCATAAAACAAACCAGAGAAGATCGAGTCATAAAACCAACCAGAAAGCATAGCGGCACATAGATCTCACCATAGGAACGATCGAGAATCGATGTACGATGTTTACGAAGAAAAAAATCGGGAAAAGAGAGGGCGAGGGAGAGCGAGAGAGCAATCTCACAAGGACACGAGAAATTCCATCTTTTTCTGGTTGGTGCCCCCGAACGCCTTTCCAAACGCACATAGACCCCCGCATGCGATGCTTGTCGTCATTTTGGTAATGCCCCGGAACGCCTTTCCAAACAGCAAGGCGTATAAGCTGCCCCAAAGGGGCCTAAGTCTTCCGTACGCAAAATTTTCTCCCTGGGAGGGGTGCTACGGAAATATGCATTTAGGTGACGAAAATGAGCTCCACCGCTGACTGTCCGGACCTAAAGTGAAGAGGAGAGAGCGGGATGAAGATCGTGAGGAAGAAGAAGGACAACAGTGGAAAGAAGAGGCCTCTATCCAATTTGATAACATCAAAACCTAATTTCCCGTTCGAATCCGAAGAGGAGGAAGCCGGACATCTGAATCATCATTGTACAGATACTCCAGCTTCAGACCCCGATTCCAAGCAGCTCGCCGATTCATTTCAGTACGAGGGCATCCAGCTTACTGAGGTTGATATGCATCCAGGTGCAGGTCCAAAGTGTTTAACAGCTTCCCTAGCATTCTTAGGGCCCCGTAAAAGAACATGTGAACCGTATACCATCATTTATGATGTCAGTAATTAGGTATAAATATGTAACACATCATCACTTGATATATATAGTAGAAACATTTGTGGCGTAATGCGGCATGCATGAAAACACCAAACTTCTGAGAGACTGCACTATCAATTGCATCTAAACATAACTAATTTTAAAATGCCCCGACATTTAAGATCAACATGTAAACGAAGGAAAAAACCACTGAATCGCCTTTCAAGGAGAACAAAATACAACATTAATATAGATCCAGAATTAAATCAAGGCCAACACAGATGCAACTGATAAAACAAAGGATTCCATAGAAGCATAATGCATTGCGCTACACACTTGCCAGATTTGATTCTTAGAAGGTGAATCAAATATAAATCATTATTAAATATATCACATAAGGGGCAGGAATGATGGTAGTCCAAAAGAGAAAAATAGACTGTTAAAATTATTTTAATCAAGATATGAGAACCTGCTGATTCAAAATGGCAGCTTCATTATTTTTTTTATCTTTTTAATAATTTTGGCCAACAATAGCTTCAAATACTCTCAAGAGTAATTCAAAATTCTACAATCACAAACTTCCTAGACACCAGACCTTCACATCACATTAATCTCCCCTGTTACAGTAACACCACTTGTCCCAGAATAAATCTGAATTTAGCCATCATCCCTCCAAACACCTTCCCATAACACCAGCCCAGCTGGTAACACCCTCTTTCCACACTATAAATCCAAACTCCCCTACCTCCTCAAAAACAGTTTTCCCGCCAATGTCGTTATCTGTCCCAGTGTCATAATATTTCCAAGTCACATCCCTGACACCCAACCCTTCAAGGAAAGATTCCACCTTCCCAACATCCATATCTACCCCCTTCTTTCCCAACATCCATAAGATCTATCCCTACTGCTATCCCCATTTATCCTTCACACTCTACTAGTCATACCACAAAAAACATCAGCAACGAGGGCTTCAACCAAGGTGTCTACGGTGCAATGTGGGTGCACAAAAATTAGGATGTCTTGGAAATGTCTCAAATGGAAATAATGAAGATGGCTGACTGAGGGAGGGCATCAACTTCTAGGGATGACAAGAAGGTGAATTCAATAGTGGCGAAAAGAACATAGCTTCAAAGTAAACAATGGTTTTCGGGTATATACCTCAGACGCTGATCTTTCAATATATCTCAAATGGTAATGAGGGTGTGTCTCTTGTGCCAAGAGAGGACAATGATTGCTTGTGATATCCTAGATTGATTGAAGCAATTTCACCAAGGAAATCGTTGAAAGAACGATGTTCTCACCATCATCTCCTTCGTCTTTTATAAAGATGCCCTTTCAATATCCAGCACACTACTATCTATGGCATTCTCACCCTAATGGTGAACTTTGAGTTCAGCATTGGAAATTTCTTGCCTTTTACTTTCAATTGATAGTTAAGTTCTTATTTTCATTCATAGTGAGCAGAAAATAGAGATAAACGTGTATTTATAAGGAAACAATAGCGCTAAAGGAGTCCATAAAATAGAATGAGCATTACTGATCATGATCTTCGAATGACATGGGAACATTAAAATAAATGGGAAATTTGACATACATACCACCCAATTCAAATGCATTTACATATCTAACCCCTAAATTTTAATTATTTACATTAACTCTGCCCAAATCATTCATTTGACATCATAAATATCACTATTTTAACTTTTAAAAAGTGAAATACACCTTTTCATTCATAGGTAAGGTGGCATATATGTAAGAAATAGATATTTAGGTTTCGATATGTAATTAAATAGGAAATAAGTGTTAAGTAAATTTTCCAAATAAATATGTGCAGGACAGTAAAATACCTGTTTTTATCAATAAATAAAGAATATAATGCTATTGTAGATTGAGCTTTGTTTACTATAACAGTAGCATAAAACAGCTTGTTAACAATTTAGAGATGTGTACTAAGATCGAAAATGATGAGAATCATAAGTGTGCTTCACAAGATATCTTCATCCAATAGGTTTTACATTTCCTATTCAGAAATATATTTGTCCTATTGTTGGTATATTTTGAGGTCACAATGAACAAAAAAATTTAATTTAAATATTTTTTAGTAATTATTAGTTAACATCAACACCCGCATATCATTAACAAATCGAAGTCTTGCATATGAATCATGCTTCAGGGCCACAAAAATATTAAAGAGCACAAACAGAAAGTATTACTTATAGCTAATAAGACTGCTAGTTAGGACCAATAACAATTCATAAATTGAAATCAAGAACACTGGCTGCATCAAAGTTCTTCATTATCTTCTCATCTTAAAGTCTTCCTCCTAGAATAAAATTTAGTGATGATAACATGATCATTTGATTGAGGATGAACTTAACATTTTAAATTTTATTTCGATATAACTAAGAAATTAAAATATTACATTCATCTGAAAAGAAATTTAAAATTTTGAATCCATTTCAATTACATTTTCATTGGTAGATACCAAAATTCTCCTACTTGATCTTCCCTGAGGAAGACAAAAGATGAGACGAGACTGGAATAAAAAAAAAATACAGAAATTAATGGGGGCATTTACATGCATCCCACACAATTCTTGTGTATTTACATATCCAACACCAGAACATTACTTTTTTTTACATTCATACTGCTCAAATCTTCCCATATCACAACAAAAATATCAACTTTACAAAGTTTGAAATACATCTTTGGTTAAAGGTGATGTCTGTATAAAAATTAAAGTTTGGGGTATTGGATATGCAAATTTATAGGAATTGAGTGAATGGATGTAAATCTTCAAATTAAATATGCGTTCAATCAATTGGGAGTCCACAAGTAATTATACACAATAATCATATATCAACTCCTGATTGATTAAGTTCACAATACCTTTATCTTCTTAATCAGTACCAAATGATTTCTGCTTCCACAACCCACAACTGAAATCAATCAATGGTAACCTCTAGAAGTTCTAGATTGATAAAGTTCCAACCTTCCCTTAGCCTCTGGTAAAATAAGCTCCAATTCCGGATCTTGAATTGCAGAACACTGTTTCGAAGCCCATTCCAGCACGGTGAGGACCTCCTCCATGGCCAGCTCCTCGCTTTCGGGAACATGGAGAGCAATGTAGCTCAGCAGCACGAGAGCTGCAGTCTGCACCATCTGTTCACCAAAATAGACGAGTTGGACGAGGTGCTTGACTCCTCCAGCATTAATAATGGCTTTGGAATGGTCGACGTGGAGGTAATTATCAGTGCAGGCAAACTTGGCGAGAGCAATGGCTGCTTCGCGCATCACAACACCTTCTTTCTCGTCCAGCAGCCTCACTAGTGGCCCGATGATGCGTTTCTCGGTGGCTCTGAATGTTCTCGACAAGCAACCAATGGCGGTGATGCAGGGCACTAGAAGGTCATCGTATTCCGCCTTCTCGATGACGCGGAGCAGCTGGTCGACGATGGAACGAGCGGTGGGGGAGGTGGGTTTGAAGGCGGAATGGCGGAGAACAGCATCCCCTTCAGCCACGCGGGCGATTTCCATGAGAGCCATGGCGGAATTGTATCGTACATCATCTTCCCCCTTCTCGAGAAGAACGGCGAAGCAGAGAAGGGCTTTTGATTCGGTTATGATTTTACAGATGGCAGAATTTCCCCTAGCAAGGTGCCATAATGCTCGGGCGGCCATGGCTTTCATGTACGATTTGGTCCCCGGGCCCTCGAATTCTCTCCCCCTGGTATTGGACCCAGTGAGGGGGGTATGAGGATGCCGGACATTGAGGGAATGATGGTCGGAGCTGTTTCCTTTGACGCCCTGCATCTGGTTCTTTCTGACCTGGCTGTCCATCGGATGGCGAACTAGGGCTTGCTCCGACGACTCCTTGGACGGATCGGCGGCGATATTAGCCATGACGACAGAGTGAATTGAGGTGACTTTTGGAGGAATCGTGTACTTGGAGTGCTCTTCGACTGTCTCGAAGGCGAGATGGCCAACGAGGAGGCGGACGACGTTGTTCTGTGCGAAGACATCCTGACATTTCGGGTGATTAGCGGCGAGCTCGGAGACGGCCCATGCGACCATGGCCTGAACCCTCATAGGGCTCTCCTTAAGCACCTTTGCGAACACAGAACAAACTCCGGCGAGAATCATCTGCTCCACGCTCTCCGGATCCCGGCCGAGAAGACCGAGAGCACGAGCTGCGTTCTCCTGTCCCTCAACCCGGCCCTCCTTCACGAGGCGGAGAAGATGGCTGACACCATCTTCTTCAATAATAAGCCTCCCGAACCTTTCGTTGTCTCGCGCAAGTGAAACAAGGCTGGCTGCAGCGTCGGCGCGGGCTTCCAGGTTACCAGTATGCAGGGTTGCGATCTGCTCCCATATTAAGAACAGGATCGGTTCGTTCTGAGCGATGGGGGGAAGACCCAGGTGCATATCGCCGTCCTCATCGCCGGCGGCGGATCCCCTAAGGAGCCAAGATACGTCGCCGATGGAGTTATCGAGACCGATCAACATCTTGCGGAAGGCGCCGGCGGGGATTAGGGTGAACATTCTTTTCATGATCCCGTTGGCGCGGCATTTGGCGATGAGAGAGAGGGCTTTGTCAAGGACCAGTTCAGTGTCATCCATGATCCGACGAGCCGGACGCTCGTAGAGCTCCGCTCTCGCGGCTTGCCGGAGAAGAGCGGCGAGGCGTTCGGTCTTGGACTTTAGTTCCTGGCACTCGGTTCTGAATGAATGAGCATCGTCGGCTAGTTTCGTTACCTGGTCGGCGAGCTGGATCGGCTTCGCTAAAATCTGCATGACTCCATCGCCCATCATCTTGCCGGATCTCTTGTACTGCTGATTGCTTCCCGGTATTTGAGTTACGGACGAAGAGAGACAAGGGTTTGGAGGAGGAAGACGATCGTAGCGATTGCCGGAATTTAACCTACGGACGAAGAGAGGAGGAGAGTTTGGCGGAGGAAGACGATCGTAGGGCTTCTCGGCGAATGTTCCGCGGTAGAAAGGATGGCTTTTTTTGTTATGATCGATATTTGTCTTTCTTCTATTACGGCAGCGAGGCGGTTTGACATTTGAGCTTTTACATGCATGCCACCCAATTCGTAGTATTTGCATGTTAAATCAATATTTTTATATTTTTTAAATTCTATTTATATCATATAAAAAATGCTCCTCAAAAGGGATAAAAATGTGTCATCCAAATGTAATTATCATGGAATAAGAATGTTTATAATAAAGCATTGGGAAGTTTAAGAAGGCTAGCATTTCCATGTTTAAATGTTCATGAAGTTTATTATGCATGTTCCTTTTTGGATGCATCTTTCGTTGTTTAGAATAAACTTATGGAAGGTTTAATTAAAGTAGATTTAGATGGATGTTATGAAAATTTTGCAGCAGTCTCTTAGAGCTGAGTTATCATTGTGGTTGATGCCGGTTTCATGGTTCTAAAGTTTTTTTTTTTTTTTTAGCTGAGTTGCAATTTGAAGTGCTCAACAACTTCTTCGTCTTATCGAAGCTACCTCTTTTTTGCTTCTTCAAGGGTAACCGTTACTTTAAAGATGAGCATCAGAGTTTGTATGCTTTAATTATGAGCTTTATAGCCTACTAAGCGTGGAGCGGATAGGACGGCCATAAAATTTTGTTCTGGGCAACCGTTGCTTCCGCACTTTTAGTAGTTCAGGGTTTAGGGTTTGCAATATAAGATTAGTATACCTGTCACTATTGCTGCGGACATCATTTTTGTTTTCTATAAGAAATGGATATGGGCATTTGTGCAAATTAAATTGAGTGTACTTTCTAAGACACTCAATTTTAAAAGGAAAAAAGGTATATAGGCTTTTCAGTAGCTTGATGTGTTTGAAGTTTGGATGTGGCAATGCTAACTATTATATTCCTGCTAACATCTCCACATGATGGACAATGAGCTATGCATTTTAAGCTTTTCCGTGAGGTAAATGTATGGCAATAAAGCATTGAGATGTTGGATGCTACAGAATGTTAAAGAGTTGTTGGCATTTGCTTTGCAATTACTTATAAAGGAGTCTGAAGTTAAAGTGAATGTTACTAATAATGGATGTTTGCTATTATTGATAATATTGGCTTTGTTCTTCTTTATTAATTGATGTGTTACAGTATAACAATTGCTAGGAAATAATACACCTATATGGATACTTCACATTGCTTATGGGATACTTCTATATAGATACTTCACATTGTTGATTGATTTATTAATTCTTTCTGTTGTGTCATTTCTGTAGATTATTTCTTTTATTCATTTTTCCTTAAGATTTTATTAGATATGGATCAAAGTATATTAGATTTATAAATGATGTGATGCCTTTGTATCAGACGACCATTTGTGGTTCTTCACATTGCTTATGGTTTATGTTGTTTCACATATGCATCCTTTTAATAGTTGCGGACCTATGGGAAATTGTGGCTACATAATTCATTGTGCTCAGCAACTCCCTACTTGGTGAGATGGTTGGCCCCTTCCCACAATGGTTCTACTTAGGTTGTGTTACTTTAGCAATGTTGTAGTACAAAAAAGGTAGCAGGTGCAGCACAAGTCAAGCGTATTACTTCATCTAATTGATCTTACTTTGGTATTTCTTACTTTCAATGATATTCTTTGTGAGTAGTGATGAAATGATGGTATATTACTTACAATGAATGGGATTCACAATCCCTGGTGATATGTTTTGTTATCTCACTGTTTATTCATTTCATTTTGGAAGGTTGCTCAAGCACTATGAGAAATTGGCTAGCCACACTTTTTTTAATTTGTTGCCTGAATGGGAGTGAATATGAAATTGGATGATCACCTTTCTAGCTTGGTGTAGGCTTGTAGCGACTATGGTTTGATTTTTTATGGTGATGGATGAATACCCAACCTGTAGTCATTTTATTTCCCTAGGGTATTTCTGGTAAAAAAATAAGTTTTGCATTTAATTTGGCAATCTTTGGCATAGTGATGTTATAACATTTTAGTGGGTTTGGTTCTTCTTTATATAAAATTAATTTTTGTATTTAATTTGCCAACTGTGGAGCAGCTTGGATGACCACAAAATTTTTTTGTCGAGAATCGTTGTCTCCATATATTGGTAAGTAGATTTTCTTGATTTCCTACATTTTTTGACTGATATATTCTCTTTTTAATAATTGTGGGACGATGAGCTCCAGGTATTTAGGGAAGTCCGGACAAGTGATGTGCCTCTGCGAAATGCCGTCATTGCTACTCACGTCACGCATACAACATAACTGTGGGTAGCAGTTCTATAAGTGCCAGAGGTGGAAACACGGACCGGAGGACTGCGGTTTCTTCAGGTGGGCAGACAACCCTTCAGATTCTATGTTATTTCAATTGGACAACGTTACACGGGGTTCGACGGTGTCACAATTAGAGACCATCACTTGTGCTTCGAGTGTTTCCGAACCGCAGAATGTTGCTCGGGGTTTGATCATGCACCAACCGAGCAACGGTTCTCACGAGATGTTACTTTTGTATTTTAAATTGAATGTTATAATCCTATTACTAATTGTAGTTTCAATATGTATTTTGATTTTAATTTGGTGTCTTGAACTCTATTTTAAGTGAAGTGAGTATCAAAATTTTGTACTGTTATGAAATTACAAAATTGTCATGCAATAAATCTATATAAATATAAATAAATAAATAAATATAAATTATATATATATATATATATATATATATATAAGAGATTATTCATGAATAACAACTAAAATATAGAATAAAAATTCTATACTTTGTGCTAATTGTGTAATAAAATAAGGTTTATAAGAAATTCTTCACTTCGGTTTCTTCAGCTCATCCTGCATATTTTCTTCTATTTGAGTTTGTTTTCTTCTTACTCTTTCTCTCTGAAAAGGCTTCTTTGTTTCACCTACATTTTATTGTTCCTATAATATTAAAAAAATATATCGCATGACAAAATATTAAAACAAACATTTTGAAAATAAACCACAACTTTCAAATATAGGTAAATTTATATAAATATTAAAATTAAAATTTATTTGTTAGATAGGACACAATAGAAAAAAAGATTCATCTAGCTTATATATTTTAAGTGTGGTGATATGTAATTTTGTTAATAATGCAAATTTTAATTATTTTATTTTAAAATTAGTGTAAAATGTAAATTTTTTATTATAATTTATGTTACACTTAATTTAAAAATAAAATTTTGAAAATTAAAATTTATAATGTTTGAATGGTATTTTATCTACAAAAAACTACAAATCAGTTATTTTCCAACCGCACAAACCAAATAGCTAAAAAACTTATCCAGAACAAGGACAGAATGATAATTTATTCTGAATCAACTGTTTTCCAAACGAACAAACCAAACAACCAGTAGTTTATCCGGATCAGCTGTTGATCAGTATATTATCAAAATAAGCTGGATAAGCTGCGGCTGCCTCAAATAGACCCTTAAAATGACTTGGCCCACGTTTTAAAAAGAGCCACGTTGGACTTAAAACGCCACCCTAAACCCCATAAAATCACGACTACATGTTGCGTCGCTGCGTTATCGCCGACGTAAACCGGGCATAACAAAACAAATCTACCACATTCTACTGCTTTACCCGTTGTTCTCTCACCCCCCCTAAACCACGAGAAAATATTACCTCAGGACTCTGCAGGTACAATTGCCTGCAGAGTCCAATTAACGAAAGCCATGTGGAATCCTGGTCTCACAAGCTAAAATAGGGAAAATAAATAAAACTTCGCACACGACCCAACCGGAAATACAACCCGATCAATTTACCGACAGCTTTCATAAAATTATTTCGCACTCGATGGAGTCGCTACTGTTCTCTTGCCATCTGAAGAAATATTTCACAGCCATCGACGCATGCATCTAGGGTTTTTGGAAGAAACTTTTTTTCGGGTTTTTGTGTTTGGTTTTGAAGGAATTTTCCATCTTTCTTAAATTTTATAATTCTTATATAAGTTATTAATAAATATAAGTTATGATATCTAAATAAATTTTTTTTTTGTAACATATTAATAACAAACTAATAACATACTAATAATACACCAATAACACACAAATAACACAAAATAACACACTAATAATACATAATAACACAGTTATACACTTGAGAATATACTCAGTGTGCTATATCATTGGTTATAACGCCACCCCACGTGTTATAGGACGGCTGTGTAACACGTGGGTGGCGTTATAACCCGGATATAACACGCGGTGAATATCCCCCAAGTGTTATACCGCGAGTTAGGGAGTGTTATAGGGCGGTTGTATAACATGTGGGCGGCGTTATAACTCACGGTATAACACGCAGTGAATATTTACCATGTGTTTTTTATTAGTGTGTTATAGAACAAAAAATAATATATTTAGATGTTATAACTTATATAAAAATAATAAAATTCAGGATAGATATATAATGAAAAAAGTAGATCAAAATCAAACACAAATCCAAAGAAACATTTCTTGAGCTGGGTATCCATCGCGTGCCAAATAATTTTATGAAAACGATGATAAATTGATCAGTTGTGTTTCGGGAGGTTTTATTCGGTACGTGCACCGCAGGAACCCTTAC